GCATGATTTTAATTGTAAAGAAATTATTTAGTTATACAACATTCGCTTAAAAGAGAGACTTTATTTATCTTTTAATAAACTAAACGTCATAATGAAAACCCCATCCGTAAACCAAAGAGAGAACTTTAAATGAGAAGTGCAAATAATGCAGACCCGAGCCCCCAAAGGCGTTTAAAACATTTATAACTGTAATTCCAAATGCATATGCTAATTCGGTGGATTTACAGAATCTGAACAAGGTACTGCCGGTACCCCAAACAATAATAACTAACAGAGAAACGAAATATTATGAAAATCTATGCAGACAAATATTGTAACAGCAACCGAAAAACCAAATTCAAACGCGACAAAAGTAAATAAAAATAAAATATTAAATTAAAAATAAAAAGAAAGCGTTGTTTTTTCCTATGGATTTCCCAATTTGTTCATTTATTTGGTAAATATTTCCCGCTGACTGCTGCCGCAGTAGGAAGCTTCCCATCGGATTATCTGGAGTTCAAAATCCGCGTGATTGCAACTGCAGCCAGTGCGGTAAAAACTTTTCTTCTCATTCGAAATGGTTATGGGTTGGGTTTTAGCTGGTGCTGGTGACATCCTGGCGGTGCGAGAGGTCGCTCCGGTTCCATTTCGCATTTCAAACTGCGCTGTTATGGCAGCGGTTTTCAAAAGCACAGATACGCGTTCTCAGGAGGGGATCACATGGAATTCCGTATTTTTCGCCAACTCTGCACTGAAAAAAATCGATTTAAATTTTGTTTCAGCATTAGTTACAGGTAAAACAAGATCAACGGTCTTGCCTTTTTCGAAATCCAGTGTTAAAAACTTAAATACCAAATCTTTATAAGATTTCAAAAGCAAATTTAAGATGTGTCGGATTAAAGAAAGTTTGGATAAGAATTTACTTAAAAAAATCTCTTTAAACAATTTAAAAATACATTACAAAAAATTTTGTTGGGGTAAAAATATGGAAATAAATGTAAAAAGTTGTTTTATTACTTTTAGCTTTAAAGCTTTTTTACATATGTAAAAATAGTCACGCAAACAACAACTATCCCCGTGCAATTCATATTTTTTTCAGATTCCAATGTTTTGTCATCTGAACTGTCAGGTGAGGGGACAGGAGCTAACCAAAGCATAATAAAAGGCAGACAATTAATATTGTTCACTGTCAAGCGATGGCACTTAACATGGCACAGATTGCAGCGCGGTTGCGCTCGTTGCGGGGTCAATATAAAAGGAATTGCCGTTCCGACTGCCGGGCAACTTCTAATTGACTTGACTAGGATGCTGGCTGTTGGTGGCTGCGGAGGCAAATGTCTTCATTAGTTTAATTGCAAACATTATTATTGCGCACCAAAAGTTGCACTTGAATGCGCGGAGCAGCCAGGAAGTTCACTCAGCTTGACTCATTTGGCAAACGATTCTCGGCCAAGAGAGATAATGAGGCAAAAGGCCAACGCGAAGGAAAAAGGCATGAAAACAAAGTGAATTTTTCCTTGTTTTTCGCGTTCCCGTTTGTTTTTTCTTGCTTTCCCTCCGCTGAATAAAATGGCTAAATTATACGGATAGAAGGAAATCTCTGGCAGCTGCCAAAATGCCAAGCAGTTGGCTAAGTGGGTAAACTTTGCTGGAGTCTTGCAATTCTTTAAACGTTTTTACTTTTAATTTTGTTAATAGACCTGTTCCATCTTAATTAAAACACAAAAGATAGTGCAAAGCAAGGAGCTACATTTTAAACAGTATAAAAAAAGAAAAGTGTAGTTGAAATGATAGTAAGCTTAAGTCTTCCTGCAGTTGAAGCATAGGGTTTACTTATTAATAATACCTGTTACATGGGTTAATCGTAGTATGAATTTTGATACACTTATTTTAAGTGCAAAAAGTATCAGCCAAAACAACTTATCCAAAATTTTTCTTCACTCACAAATTTTAACACTGTCTCCAAATCATATTTTCGTTTTCTTCCATTTTCACCCCACTTTTTATTGCACCAAAAGATTGCAAAATGGGGAAGCTTTTAACTTGCTCAAGTAATATTAAAATTTCGCCAGAGATCCAAATTAAATGCGCCAACGACACTTGCCACTGAATATACCCCAACAATGTCTGCTCCTCTCGAGGAAGCTGCTTAAAGTTTTGGCGCAAAAATAATTACTTTTCATTAATATTGGCCGGCCAGTTAGAGGCTCATTCCTTGCACCTGCTCTTTTCCCTTGCCGAAAAACTGACAAAGCCAAATAAACTTGACCAACCGACCGAACGAACGGAGGAAAAACACGGACAACATGGCAAGGAGAGAAAATTAGAAAATACATTTTTCAGCATTAAAAAGTGTTCGACGTGCGGAGATTGCGGTAATTTCGCTTAACAGTTGGTTGCTGGCGCCAACATTGGGTACACATGCTGTGGTGCCAGTCAAATGCACCTGCTCGCTGGGGGTTTCAGGTCGGTGGGTGGACTCTCGGGAGGTAACCAACCATGTGGGCGGCGCTAAATGTCGAAAACGCAGCCCAGCTGTCGGGGTGGGCGTGGTCCGCTGCCAGGGGCTGAAGGTTGAGTTTGCAGGTTGGAGTTTGGGGGCATGGCAGCAGCTGGCACTTGACATGAGCAACGGCAGCGAAACAACTCGAGGGCTTTCAACTACTCTCGCACATTTCGCTTCCGCTTAGAAATGGCAAAAACACGTCCCCATACCCACTTATCACACCCACCCACACCCTGCAAACTCGACCACACAGCATACAACACTTGTACCCTCTGTTTGAAAAATAAAGTGTAACTAAAAAGCTGAAATGAGATATACTGGCAAACAAAAAATGAGACAGGGACCAGAGGGCAACGCAGGATGGCAAATTTACAACTTAATATCAGATTGTGTCGAGTGGACTGGCTGGCAATCGTAAATGCTATTTCTAGAGTGTATTTCATTACGACCATTTTGCTAAAGTCAATTGTTTACCATTTTTGGTTTATTTATTTGAGAGCTAATTGTCGTAATGGAAAATATAGAATTATTTAAACTATTTGTTGGAGTGTCAATTGTTTAATTTGAAATAAAGCTTTATAGTAATTATACACCCAAAAAAAACTCGATATGAATCGTAGGTCAATTTTACCTTTTTTAAGATCATTTTTAACTTGATATGGGGCCAGGTAAATGTGATATGGTTGACCAAAACTTATACTAGTGCGAGCGAGAAAACATGCTTTCGAAGTACGTCAGTTCGAATTTCGAATACGTCTTTCTCGCTTCCACTCATGTCATTTTGCTCGCCATATTGATTCTTGCGCTCTTTTTCGAAGTAAGAGAATCTCCGAGAGAGAGAATTCGGTAAAATGATATTATTTAATGTAAATTTTATGAATATTTCAGGTAAAAACGATATGAGTAGGAATAACCAGAAAATTACCTGGACTTATCGATTTTACGGCGACGTGCTTTTTTTTGTGTGTATTTAATTGTTTCTAAATCAAACTTTTAATTAAATGTAACTTAATAATTACAAATTTTTGATATTAGTCAGTAAAAAAAAATGCAGTAAAATGTAATACCCATTGTACGGGCTCACAATATGGCTTAATGTATTTTAACGCTTTCGGCAGCAAACATAAACTTGGCAGAAAAAATAAAAGCAGCGAAAATGAGCGGGCACAATGCTTGGTTTTGGCCAGGACTTCAAAGACTCCGACGAGCACTTACGAGGGAAGTATAGCTCCAGGTATCAGACAACTGGTGGTTTTCCCACGCACTCTGTGTATCTCTGAATCCTGGCAGAGCGACAGAAGACTTAAACACAAGTTACGAAAGCGTTAAATTACAATGCTTTTGACAAATCATCGAGCAAACAAAGCAGCGCAAGCCGTGCTGTCAATAGGACATTAGAGGCAGCTAAGGGGAAAAATCATCGGCTGCATCAATCATAAATATTTTAAGCAGCAAACACAGACGATGGCTTTGGCTTTGTGCCTTTGTGCTTTTGTGCTGCGGAGCGAGTGTGTGGGAATGCGTGGCTAATTGCATTACCAGGCAGCTATGTGGCTTAAATGCCACAGCGCCAGAATGCCAAGACACGGCATTAAGCCTCCGTGGCTGCCATCGAGCTCGTGGCATTTGCGTCAATTATGGAGTTTTGCAGCAAATAAATTTTAATGAGTAGTGCAACATGCCGCCTGCCGGTTCGACGTCGCTTAACAGCTAGTCAAGCGAAAGGGCCATTGGCTAGAATTTAATACCGACTAATAATCGAGCAGCTTACATTTTTACACGTCATTGGATTTATCAGAAAGCTTTTGTGGTGGCCACAATTAAATTGAATTTTCAACCTTTAATTCCTGTATTTCAGCATTTTCTGTAAGTGCATTTAACGTAGCATAAAATTGTTGATTGCTTTCAAGGGTATTTAAAATTCATTGCACAAATTAGGGCTTAAACTGACCCATTTCCCACCCTGTCGAACTTAATTTGGCTCTAGAGTGCATGCTAAAACAGGGGCTAAAACAAAGCGATGGGTCGCAGCCGCAGTTTCGCCATCGCATGACCAGGACCTATTTGTCCAATTATATGGCCCTTGTCGCATAAACCGCGAAATGTTAAATATGTCCGATTTACACTTGAGATAAAATTGCAATAGGGCCTTATGAGCTAATAAACGTGTACTGAGCTCATTTACGCCAGGACCGCGAGAGGTTAATGGAGGGAAAAATAGAGTAGGTGAAAATGTTATTTTTCCGGAAATTTTTGATCCATATTTCATTTTAGTTTCAAAGCTGCTATAAAGGAAATTGCAATAGTTTATAAAAAAAGTTAATATTTCATTGGATAATAGGAAACACAACTTTAATCCGCTCCTGGATTTTAAAATGACCCTACCGAATATGATAGCAGTAACAATGGTGACAAATGCTAGGCAAGTCCCTCGTTTCACTGGGTCCACATGCAAAGGGCGCAGCGTCCTTCAACTTGACAGTAACAGTAACCCACTGGCATTCGCCGAACAACTATGGACAATCGTGCGGCGGAACTTATCCTCCGAGAACGGGACATTTTCCCATCTGGTTCCGAGAACATCCTGTTGCTCAACAACTCGTTCGTTCTGGAAATGTTCTTCAGAATAACGCAGCTGTATCACTTCAAGAACTTTATATTCTACATATCCGAGAGACTGGACCTCAAAAACAAGGACTCGCAGGAGTTCTTTCACGACTTCTGGACCTACTTTCCACTGGCCCCCAACCTGATAATAACGCGGCAGCACCACGTGGCCATACCGATGATGCAGTTCATCAGCACCCCGTCGCTGGTGATGGTCTTTACAACGGCCAAGGATGATCCCATCATGGAGGTGGCCGCCCAGAGTCTGCGAGGGATCCGCTGGCTCAAGACGATATTCATTCTCTTTCCCAGTCTTGAGAGTCGCGACTTTGACTCCAATCCGGAGTCATACGCCCAGTTCTCGGCTGGGATCACTGCCTTCTACGAATGGGTGTGGAAAAAGCAGTTTATCAACACTTTGCTGGTCACCATAAAGGATAGTGTCTTCGTGTTGGATCCCTATCCCACACCATCGGTTGTTAACAAGACGAGCGACTGGAGGGCTGAGGACTTCTTTCAGAAGTATGCCAAGAACATGAAGGGCTATGAGGTGAGAACGCCCATCCTGTACGATCTGCCGCGGGTCTTCAAGTCGGATCGGCCCACCAACAGATTTGAGAAGAGCTTCGTTCACGGGACCAGCGGTAATTTATTCCTCGGATTCCTGGAGTTCGTCAATGCAACTCTCGTGGATACCAGCGTTAATATGACAGCTAGCTACTTGAACATGACGGACCTGCTGGACCTGGTTTCCCAGGGAGTGTACGAGACCCTGATCCACTCCTTCACCGAAATAACAACCAAGTACGTGGTTAGCTACAGCTATCCCATTGGCATCAACGACTGTTGCATCATGGTGCCCTATCGCAACCAATCGCCTGCGGATCAGTACATGCGCGAGGCTCTCCAGGAGAATGTGTGGCTCCTGATCATCCTGTTCACACTCTACATAACCCTGGCCATCTGGCTGTGTTCGCCCCTGAGGCCACGTGACCTCAGCGCCGCCTTCCTGCAGTCCATCTGCACGCTGACCTACAGTGCGCCCACCTTCATCATTCGCACGCCAACGCTGCGTATGCGCTACCTTTATGTTGTTCTGGCTATCTGGGGCATAGTCACATCGAACTTGTACATTTCCCGGATGACCAGCTACTTCACCACAGCCCCGCCGCCGCGACAGGTGAACACGGTGCAGGATGTGGTGGAGGCGAACCTGAGGATCAAAATGCTGGCCGTCGAGCATGAACGGATGTCCAAGTCACCGCTGCAATACCCGGCCAGCTATATGCACCAGGTGGACCTGGTGGACAAGCACATGTTGGACCTGCACCGAGAGCCATTCAACACCTCCTTTGGCTACACGGTGAGCAGCGATCGCTGGCGATTCCTGGACATGCAGCAACTTCATCTGCGAAAGCCCATCTTTCGACTGACCGACATCTGCGAGGGTCCGTTCTACCACGTGTTTCCCATGCACCAGGACTCCCACCTGCGCTCCCCGATGACCGAGTACATTATGATCGCCCAGCAGGCAGGCCTAATGAACCACTGGAAGCGCGAGGCCTTCTGGGAGGCAGTGCACCTGCACCGCATTCAGGTTCACATGTTCGACGAGGAGCCCATGGCCCTGACCCTCAATTTCTTTGCCAGCATTCTGCGCACCTGGACCTTCGGTCTGATTTTAGCTGGATTGGCTTTTGCGGCTGAGATGAAGTGGCACGAGCACGTGACCCTCAAACGGCGACCTGTCATCGGACTATCCCGCAAGCCCAGGTCCTTTCTCAGGCGATTCATGAAGTTGTGAGGCGCGGAGAATAATCAGGAATAGCTATATAGTTCTTTTTCACATATGAAGTGGTTTCTGGAACATCTCTGATAGTAACACTTTTTGTATTTAACAGTAAACTATTTATAAACCACCTACAACTCTAGATCATTGATAATAAAAAAGAAAACCCTCATTGGCCCTAGAGATCCTTTCCAGAACAAACACAATCCCTGCTAAGATGCTCATCACCAGTAGAAGGATAAAGGCAATGGCCAGATGCTGCAGTCCGGCGGACGTGTACTCCCGACTCTCTGGCCATCGCTCGACCAAACCGGCATGAAGGGCCGATCCAAAGCTGCTGCGGGCATAGAAGTTGAGCAACCCGGATGAGTGGATGCGGAATGTGAAGTACTCGATGTCCCGCCACAGGGATGAATCCATCTGGAGGGGAAAGGCCAGGTGGTAGGAACCGAAGCAGATGCCGCTTAGTTTGAAGAGGCGCTGCTTCAGATGCTTCTGCTGCTCGTCGAGAAACTGCCAGTGATCCTCGGTGACGAAATAGGCAAAGGAGCTGTTGAATCTCGTCTGGTGCTCTGAGAAAATGGCCGAATCGACGGGTCGTAGAAGTTTCAGAAACTCTTCGGGCAGCTCCTTGTTCAGATTCAAGAGGAAATCCATCTCGTAGTCAATTATCATGACGGGCAACTGGGCACTCACTATGTCATCCATTGTGTTTATCTGGGCGTGGAAGAGAGTCACGGTCAGAATGCTGCCCAAATTGGAGGTGTAGTAGGCGGACAGGAAGAATCCATGGAAAAACACGGTGACCAGGAGGAGAAAGCGAAGGAGGCAGGGCTGTTGTAACTGCCCCTCGGTGGGCACATTGATGATGTAGCAAAAAGAGTCTAAAAGGGTGCCTTGAAGGCCTGACCACCATCCACCAAACAACCTGAGCCACATCAATTCCAGGAGAACCAGTCCAACAAGAGCTCCCAATGCGAAGAACCACACATTCCAGGCGAAAGGCTGCAGTGGATAGAAGTACGTGGACACACTGTTGTAGAGGGGAACCATTAGACACCACTGCACCACCAGCAGGGGATATGTCTTCTCCAACTCCTCGTCGGGCATGAACAGGGCGTAGGCATGGGCACAGAACTCCATCTTGCGATCTCGAACCAATTGCAGGGCCTCCTTCATGTTGATCACCTGCCCACCAAGAGTATCTGGTGGCATTATAAGCTCCGCAAAGCCACCGTTGATGAATTTCACAAATGTATCGATGATCCGGTAGGTACTCCCATCATAATGTCCTTGCGATTGGAAGAGATGTGGCAGGTCCTGGCGCAAAGGCGTGGCAAATTCGAAGCCACCTACATCTGAGCGGGCGTTCAAAACCTTCTTCCAAACCTTTCCGATGAACCTCAAAAAATCGGTGCGGTTCTCGAATGTCATGGAGGGGAACTTGGAGACGCCAAAGAGCTGGTTAATTCCCTCCTCGGACTCGAAGTAAATCATGGAGTTCATGAACTGCTGGTTGTAGGCAAAGAGCAGCAGTTCATTGATTGGCTGCATGTTGCCCACTTTGTCCACATACATTATCATCGAGAAGTAGAAGTGGCGCCCGAGCAGGACCTTGCTGAACACCTTCATAATCGGATCTTCGGCTCCAGTGGTGAACACAAAGCTCATGTGGTTCCTGCGGGCCGACGAGTGTAACATTCGCATCTCCGTATTGTTATTCACCACCGTCTGAGTGGCGGTCTCTCCAAAGGCCTCATCCATTCGCATTATAAACTCATCCACTTGGTCCAAACGCTGATGTGGACTAACGAACCACACGATCTCCTGGAACACTTTCAGTCGAGCAAATGGACCCAACAGATTGAGTATGTATTGCATGTTCCAACCATTACTTGGATGACAGAAGACCAATAGTAAAACACAATCCAAAATCGCTGGCCGCATGTCTTCCTTCAAGAAGCTCCACGAATTAATTGAGCAGGTTAAATCATTTGGCTCGATTGAATATAGTTCTTTCGTTTTCGTTTTAATTAGTCTTTTGGGAAAACTTAGACATTGCCTCCCTCGGCACCAATTTAAACATTACGCTAACAAATACCTGTATTGTTTATTCAATTGGGGTAGTTTTAAGAAAACTGAAACCCTTGACGATTTCAAAGCCATTAAAATCACATTTAAGGTTCTCATTAATCCCTTGACAACTATTTAATGACTGTGAATATTATCAATACCTATTACTGAGCAAACAAATAAATCAGCGTTAAAATAATATTAGCCAAAGAATATATTACTGCATAATGTTGGCACATAAAATTGAAAATTGTGCCAACAAATAATTAAGAGCGAACGTTAATTGTTTTAAGTATAGCTTGTATCATAGCATTCAAAACGGTCGTACTGCGAGCGTCTCTCCCTCCGACGATGGACAAAATGCTCCAAGCAATAAACCAGTGAGCTAATTGGTAACCCCAGGACCAGGACAATCCAGGCCGTGTTGAAGAACTCCAGGTTCAGCGACTCCACGGGGTAAGTGTCCAGGAACACCTTCGCGTAGCCAGCCTGCTTGGCATACCGGAAGGCGATTTCCTCCCAGTAGTTCCACAGTCCCGCCTGCCAAACGTTCAGGATGAAGTGGTCCAGAGCGTCCCCGAAGCTGGCACTCGAGCTCATTGGCAGGGCGTTGAACAGGCCACCGAAACACACCTTGGACAGGTGGAAGTACGGCTGGATGAGCACTCGCTGCTGCCGGTTGAAGAACAGCCAGGCGTCCTGGGTGACCACATAGGCGAAGGAGCGCGAGGGACTGGCCAGCAGGGCCTGGTAGTCCTGTCAGCTGCGTGCGTCGAACTGCGGATCCAGCGAGGTCGTGTTCACCACCGGCAGAAAGCGCAACTCCTCCAGCAGCGAGTCGTGGATGACGATGCGGAGCCGCGAGTGAATGAGATCCGACCAGGTGTCAATGGGTCGCAGGAACACCGGCTTCATGTCGAAGGCCGTCATGTGGCTGAGATGGTAGTTGGTCAGGATGAAGCCCAGGACGAAGAGGAGCGTGTAGAAGACGATGACACGCAGCGAGGAGGCGTGCTTCAGCTTAACGGTCATGTTCATGTTGGGGCTGAACATCAGCAGGGCCATCGCATGGAGCACGTTCCGCGTGTAGGAGCGGGTGGCATTCCCAGGCTCCCGCCAGTGCACGTACCTCAGCAGGAGGGCCACGTAGAAGGTGCCGACGAAGAGGCACGTCCAAATGTATCTGCCCAGCGGCCACACCATGTACATCCACTTGGGCAGCTCGGGCGCCAGTGGCACCATCACGCAGTTCGTCATCATCTCCAGCGGATAACTGTGCCGCGTATCCTTGGTAAACTCACCGATCTTGTCGGGTCGCATCGTAACGCCGTGCAGCGAGAGGTTGTACAACCCGGTGACAATGTCCTGCTCCACCACCGACTTTTTGGGCAGACTCTCGACGGGATCGAGGAGCAGCCGGTAGTGGTACGCCTCGGCGAAGTGCTTTACTATCTCCATGTAGGGTCCGCAGAAGATGGGCTTCTGGAACTCGGACTCGTTGAAAATGAAGGCGTGGGGAATGTCAAAACTATAAGGCGAGCGGATCACACCACCCGCCAAGTCCGTGTCGACCAGCATATTCGGGCCGACTATTCAGATTGGCGTGGCCGATTCCTGGCTCTGTTTTTATATAGCGGACACCATTATCGATGCCACACGCAAAAAACCGACCCTGGCAGACTGACTGGCACCCATGGCAGTATCTAGTATAGCAAATCCGGTTTATTTCGCTGCAAAGTTCAAAGATCTGCCGTTTAATGGCACGTTTTTGTGTCCTGCCGATTATCGTCTAGATTGTAGAGCCGTATAACTAACACATCGATGAGGGGGACACCGTAGAATGTTATATGCCACTTATCAAAAATATTTTTGCGAATGCAGACCGGACTTTGTCCGACCAACCTACATGCATCTGTACCTTTGTGTAGTTATTGGAGCGCAAGTACTTTCACAGCTCACAAAAAGAGTCCAGTTTTTTTCATATTCAAAAAACAGGCCACAAAATTCACAAAAAAATTCCCATGAGGACTTCACGGCAGTGTGGGAGTACATATTTGAATTGGCAGCTTTCATGTAAATACTTTTCAATTTTTTAGGGTTTCGCCCGGACAAAACGACGACGATTTTCACATACACATCCATAAGCGTAGCCCACGGCCACCTGTGTGTTTTTACAAGTGGGCCAGAATAAAAACAAAACTGCCATTGAAATAATATTGCACTTAAGGGTAATTACAAAATCGTTAAACGCAAAATTAAATGAAACTGGATTGTACAAGTTCGGATTGGAGAGTTTTGGTTGCTAGCAATCGAAACCTGTTCATGGGGTCGTAAAGGCAAAAGTTCAGTGAATGTGGAGGATATATTGATGTTGCCAACGAAAAGGCTGACCTTTATATTTATTAATTGAAGCGCAGGGGACCAATGAAGTATTAATCCCGTTATGGATGAATAAGTGCAATAATTCGTAAACATTTTCATGAACATCGAAATAAATGAAAGAACCTTCTATAAACTATTTAAAATAAGTACATATATCGCTTTTTTAATCATCTGCAATCTGTTCTGCCTCATATTTAATTGACAATAGAGATTTTTTTTATAATAACTCTTAGTACAGGAATTAAGTGTAATAAAAATTAAATTGGAATATGACCTACAATTATAAGATTAAAATCTTTCAATGGCAATTAGATTTAACATTTGTGTATTTATTGCAATATAGTAAACAATTGTTTACATTTTTAAAGTCCTGTGGAAACATTTATTTAATCCAACAAAAAAGTCGCAATGGGTCGATTGTTTAAAACTGTATTTATTAACCCTGATAACTTGAATATCAAATATTTTCACTTTCCATAAAATATGTAGGTAAATTCAAATAAATCCATTGCTTCAGGGTCGCAGCGTTCTAAATTTATTCATATGTGATTTATTTTTGGAACTTTTTCTTTCGCAACCACCGACCACCCGTATTCCGACCCTGAGAACACAAAAACGAAGCTGATAGCAAACCGCATCGAATCGAAACGCTAAGCCCAGCACCACGCCCACTTTCCAACCCCCCAAACTACCCCACTTCTGCTGGCTTAGCAAATTCAAATTAATTTATGAGCCAAAATCTTGTTTATCGGCTGACGGTTTGTCGGTTTTGTGGGTTTGCCTGGCCTGCTCGAGTGCTTTAGACTTTCACTGGTTGTTGTTGGTGCTGCTATTGCTGCGATTAGAGGCGGTAGTTGCTCCATTGCTCCACAAACGAGTTGTTTTAGAGCAAAGAAATGCAGGCAAATCGCTTTAGCTATATGCGCTGCTTATGTACGCGATTGGCGGTCGGTGATTCATGTGCCTTCATAGCCGTGATCGTCTAGTGGTTAGGACCCCACGTTGTGGCCGTGGTAACCCAGGTTCGAATCCTGGTCACGGCAATGCTGCGATATGCATTGTCACGGAGAAGGATCATTTTTTTTTCTACACGTACTTGCAAAATATCGTTTTGAAACTTTCGCCATCGTTTTCTTTTATGCGTTGGCATTTGGAAAATATTGCGGATCACTCCATTTGGCAGCCACAGTTTTTTTATGTTTTTTTTTTAAATTTTAGAATATATTTTTATCGGATAATTTTATTGCTTCTACAACTAAGTAACATTTATATAATAGGAATAACATATTTATCTCCGCACAAGGCCATCTTTTGAAGAAAAATGTATTATGTTCTCTGTATAAGTAAAGTATCTTGGCTTGAATATTAAAGCATTAAAGTATTGCATTTTTGTAGGCTTATAAATTTAACAAAAGAAGTCAGTGTCCTTTTATTTATTGAAGAAGATTAAGGTGAAGCTTTGTTAAATTTATTATCTAAATAGTTTTATGTGCATTTCTTAAAAACGAAATACAATATAAATAAATATTTCCACCAATTAAGAAAAAGATATTGCCTCTTTGGCAATAATTCCTTCAAGGGTATCTCAAACGAAATTGATTTATTTAATCTCTTTGTAAGAAACCACAGGTTTAATAGTAAAGAGAGCACCTGAGCTTGGTTCCAATTGTCCTGCCTGGTGGCTTTGGTTGCGAGTTCAGCAGCGGCTGGCTTTGACTTGAATTTTAATTTAATTGTGAGCAATTGACAGAAATACACAAAACCCAATCCAGCACTTCGACCGAACGATATTAAGACGCTGGCAGCTGGTGTTGACATAAAAACGCAATAAAAAATACGGGCACCGAAACGAAGCAGACGTAAGGTTGGACAGCAATATAGCCTAGGACTCTGAATACCCTTTTGATTGAAGGAAAATTAATTAATCAGTGATTGGGGCAACCTTTGGAGTTATTTGTCCAAAATAATGTTTCTTTAACATTGTTGTATATTTAATTTAAAATATTTATTTAAATTCTATCTTATATCGTCAATTTATATATACAAAAAAAATAACTGTTTTAAAATTTTGAGCACTGAAATCAAAACTCCTCTAATAATAGGAAAAGAAAAACAATATTGAGCTAGTAGGTAATAATTTTTTTTAGTTTCCACCGTTACGACATTTTATTAAAACGACAGACAATACAAATTTCGTTTCTTAATTTTTTACCAATTTTATGTGTAATTTCCACCCTCATTTTAATACCATCCTACAACTGCAACTACAGGGTATCGGCCAAAAAATCACTCAAAATCAATTGAATGTGGCCAGCACTGGTTTGGCGATAGCAATGAGGGAAATCAACGTGAAAATAGCGACAACAATGCGTTTTGTTGTCGCTGCGGAGCAAGTGCTTATTGGATTTTCGCCGTGAGAAGCGGGTGACAGTGCTCGGGATGCCATTACTGGAGTGGGTGATGGGGTTCAGGGGGTCCCGACAGCTGATACGGCGGAGCCTTGATCAAACGCCGGAACAGACGGACCCATAATTGCTTCAGCACGGCAAGAATCTTGTCCCACATCCAATGGGAATTTAAATTTTCCGCAAATAAAACGGCCATGTGAGACAATCGTATTATTTACCATACACAATACAATACACGTACAATGCAATGGCCATTTCCATGCCGTTTCATTGAAAATAAAGTAAAAACACAAATATTAACCACAAAAGCCTTGCTCCATCTGTGGAGTGGTTGTGGGTGTTTGGGTGGTTGAGGGTGGATGGGTGGTGTGCAGTCGCCTGTATTTATGCATTTATATTCGTTTCGCTATGAGTATGTATGCATATTGAATGGATAAAAGGGATTTGCGTTTATTTCGTTCTGCGTCTGGCCGGGTGAGTCCCCACATCCATATACATATGGCCTGTCTATATGGCCGATGTCTGCCGCCCATTTCCAAACGCAACACGCCGGAAACATTTTTGTTGTGCCGTTTCCATTGTTATACAATTTTCCTTAACACATTCGCAGTAACAACGGGCACAGGCCCATTCCGTTTTATATTTCATAGACCGGGGAGGATAGGTTTTCACGTCATGTTGTCCCAAACAATTGCCCTTCTCGTGGGTTTCTTGTTTTAAAGGGCAAGTCAAAAGATATAAAAAATACGATAAATATGTCATTAAAATGTGCAATGTTTTTGAATTTTTAAACAATTTAAGTTGATATTTTTATGAAAGGCCCGAAAGAAAAAACTACTCTGAATTTAATTACAAAAAAAGTAATATTTTGTGCTTTGACTCGTACACAGTTTTCTTTCAATTTCCATCTTAATGTCAACTTGTTCTTAAACAAGCACCGGAAATTATCGTTTGAGCGCTGCTAATTGAATAAAATAGCAATCGCCTCGGGGGAATAATAACAAGCTGTAACTTCGTTGACTCATTTCATACTTTTAAATATATTTGGTACCTGGATGATTAGCTACAAATTAAATAGGCAAATGCAAGACCGCACAAATAATTTATACAATGGCAACGCGACGAGGCACGTTTGAGTTTAGAATTGGATGCAATTATTAGTGCAATTGTACGTGTCTCCGGCGGTGGCAGTCGAGGTCGCTGCCGCGCCTCAATAAGTTAAAATAAACTAAGAACTAAACGAATAACAGATATTAGCACGTGCACGCAGAAATGAGATAGCATTGGGCCACTGAGCCTACTGGACCTTCTTGGTCTCCTTGGGCGCAACGGGCAGTCGCTCCACAGCCTCCTTGTACAGCTGGTTAAGACCGAAGGTGGCTCGCACATTGTCGCTGGAGAAGAAGAACTTCTGCAGCTTGCCCTTGGCGTCGACGCAGGGCCTGCGGTCCGTCTCCTTGCCCTGCTGGAACAGGATCACAGTGGGCAACTGGCGGGAGAAGCTGCTATCCGAAATGCGGTACTTCTGGGCCACGTCCGGAAAGCGTCCAATGTCAATCTTGCCGAACTTCAGGTGGTCCGTGTTGTACTCCGCGGAGAGCTCGGCAAAGACCGGGGCAAAGTTCACGCAGCTGGGATTCCACACCGTGTAGAAGCAGATCAGCCAGGTGGTGCGCTTGTCCCGCACCAACTCCTCCTCGAAGACCTGTGCGTTGCGGAAGTAGGTGATGTGCTCGGGGCCGCGGTACGAGGGCTCGGGCAGCACCATGCCCACCAGTACGCACAGCAGCAGGAAGCCCAGCCCGTAGCGGAAGTCCGCGTAGGCCCACAAAATGGAATTGGCCACCTTGGTGTAGAGGAACGACGAGGCCAAGTAGTTGATCATGGTGACGCTGCCCGTTTTGCGCGACCGTATCATCACCACGATCAGCAGGAAGAACAGTATCTCCACCTCGCGACTGTCCAAGTCGCACGCCTCGTCCTCGCCGACGAGATTGAAGAGGCGGGTGCAGATGAACTGCGTCTTCTTGGCCAGCAGGTACGAGATGGCCAGCAGGATGTTCACCCAGTAGTAGGGCTTGGCCAGCAGCGCCAGCTGCTTCTTCCACGTCATCGCTGAGTCTGGGGGCTGAGTGCGCTAATGTGGGTCACGATTTTAATTAACAATTTCCCGAGTTTTTCTTTTCTTGCTTTTGACAGCCAATTGTTAATTTTAGCCTCGCCGTTGACTAGAAATGTGCAGCCTCGGTGTTTTGCAATGGCGTTGCCACATGGTGGCGAAAAAAGTGACACGACCAGTGTTGCAAAGGGTGCAAAGCCATTTGGCGGCTTTCTAAATTCAAAAAGTGTCCTTATCAGGAGTTTTTTTTTAGTTAAGAGAAATTTGTACGTGATTGATTTTAAAATTTTTTTCCCCTCTTTTTTTCACTTTAATTAAAATACAATATATTTCTAATCAACAAAAAATCTGAAGATTTCAATAATTCTCAATATACCTGGGGAGTAACGCCCGCTAGACCTTTCTTAATTTCATTTTTAGAGAGTCCAACGTGTTTAGAAACCACAAAACCAAAAACCGAGTAAAATATTCAAAAGCGAAACCCGGAACAAGCCCTATTTGTTTGCCCAAAAGAGCCAAAAAAAAGATAAGTGCATCGTTTTGTGGGCTGATAATGTTACATCAGCATTTTTCAAAAGTCATTGACGGATTGTTGAACTACGCCAAAAAGGCCAACGCCAAAAAAGGTAAAAAGACATCGAGAATCTTCGTTATCGGTACACACGCGAAATTATAATCTGTGAAAAACCGTGGCTCTACGTGATCTCAGACGCTCGTGGCTGCCATCACTCTCATTATCATCCAACTTATTTCGGGCCCATTTTTGTTCCTTTTTTGTAGTTCATAAATTAAATGTGTTTGAAACTGTGTGCATTAGGGTGGACTTATTTTGTATGAAATTTCTAAGGCCATGCTCTCACCCCTTCATATATGCCCTTTTTGTATCCTTAATCAATAAAAGAAAGAAAAAGTAAAAAATAATTAGTTTTAATCGGTGCGCAACGGCTTTAAAGTTTATTACGCATTTTTCAGATTCATCTTGATGCCGTAGACTTGATTTTATACTTTGACAGTATTTTAAAAAATATCTTGATCACTTTCCCGAGCTATTTAACAAGTGATGAAGTCGGTGATAAAATGCATATCGTTGGGAGACAATTACAATTTAAAAATAAGAATAATAACGAATAATCAATGACTTTTAGCTTTTAACTTATAACTATTACGGTCCCTCAAAAATAATAGTCAATATCTTTGACATTTTTCTTAACGAAAATTTTTATTGGCGAACGCAAAGGTAATAGTAAATCTTAAAAATTGTAAAATAGAATCTCTATTTTATTGTGAGTCACAAAAAAAAAAATGGTAAGTCGGCGATCGAACTTGGTCCTTTTTGTTCGGAGACAGAAGCTCTACAGGCTAGGCTACGTCCAACTGTTAATACTCATGAAATAAATTCCCACTTGACTCTTTTATTCGAGCGAAACCAAAAAGCTGACATGTTAAAGAAAGAAGAAAAATATTAAATCTGACAAGAAATGGAATGGGATTTTTAGCGAAACTTTAGGGCCATTGCGCACCGCCTAAACGATGAAATAAAATTTTTATGTTCTCGCATAAATTTATTGGACACAGAAACCTACCATTTAAGATGCTGAGCTCAGTTGACCTTAAAAAAGTCCACCCTAGTGTGCATACTGTGAGAATTTTGTACCTACTTCATAGAGCACTGACAGCATTATCGCCACCGTGACTGGCTCCTGGCATTGTGCAAAGATTAATTTTTTTGTAGTAAACACTTTGCGCGTCACTGGATTAAACGATTTATTTTTAATCGTATTATTGAGACCGTTTTACGAGGGTCATCCCCATGATCCCCATCGGATCGATCACCCACCTATTTACTGGTTTCGCTAGTGGGCCTTTCTTTGTTTTATAACAATTACTTATTGATGCATATATTGTGTTCAACACACTTGAAAAAACAATTTGTTAACAATTCTTAACGGATTATGGATCAGTATACTGATATACTGATTTAACTATAGTTAAATTTATTTTATTATTCTTAAACGTACAACATTTACAGCCACATTTAAAACCAAAAACTTTTGAAAAGAGTAGGTAATACAAAAAGAATTATGAAAACAAAATACACTAAATATTAAAACAAATTATTTTAAATAAAATATTTCTTATTCCTAACTATTTGTTTGCTTTTCAAGGTAATCGAAAACCAAGAAAATGAAATATTATGACTAATCACCTAATTGTAAGGTGCAGAACCACCAACAGCGTCTACATAAAAATATTATAAACAAAAATTAATTGAAAATTTTAATAAACAACGTGCACTTAGGTCAGGTTTTAATTTTATTATAATAACAAATGCCTCTGACTGTATGCTTAAATGTGTGGACAGTCGGAATAATCTGGTTTGCAATACAGCCTCGAAAGATTACTGGCCATTTGAGTACAGGGACAACAGAGATGGGAACCAGAACCCTTAATCTTGCTTAGCGAAATTTGTCTAGAGATACAGGGCTGTGATGCTCAGAGATGTCGCTAAACAGCTGCCCCCAATATCAGGTACTTACATCTGCTTCCCAGCCCATCGAAACTTCCCGTAGAGCTTGGAAACAAATAGGCCTCTGTATACAGTACTTATAAGACCGAAACCAAAACAACGACAACTGCAGCTGATAAGTGGAACAAAATGGCGATCAATTGCCGGCTCCATTATCGCGCTATCAAGGCAGCCTGATCTCCTGTCCCCTGCTTATCGCCCCGAAGCCCCGATCCGAACACGCGGTCTATAAATTGCAAACTCTCCCAGGCGGGAGCTTCAGTTCAGTTCCGAACCCTTGTGCTGAGTGTTCCATCTCCGAGTACCAGAGACATCTTTCGCAGAAACATCGAGCAAATCCGAGCAAAAAACGATTGGCATTAAATGCCTCCCGGTCTATTGTGCAAAATAAATAAGCAACCCCTTCTAATTGGCTCAACCTAGCTTAAATTAGTTAAACCAAAAAAAACATTCTGGGACATATTTCGATCTTTGCGAAATATTCCCCAAGCCCCCATTTGTTGCGGACTTTGAGTTTGGCCTTTGAATGCTGCTGCAGCAGAGCGGAAAAATCATCAACCTCGATCAGCATTTCGCAGAGTGCTGGAACCGAAGCTCCCTAAGAAACTTTGACTTTTTCTCCTTTCTGAGCGCCATTTCCCTAAGTGGTAAGTAGTGATGATATAGTTTGGAGTACGGATGACTAACTAATCATGTTATTGACCACCTGCAGTTGCTAAGATGGCCGCCATTCCCCAAGGTGCATTCGCTGCCTGCAAGATCCGCGAGCAATTCAACGAACGGGAGCTGATTGTCGCCCGTCTGAGGTCCGCTGCTTCCGATAAGGGTTCCGTTGACAACGGCAACGGTCTAACCCGTAAGTACTTGATCTGAATTCACTGGGTCAATGGATCGTTTACTCATCGTCGTCTCCTTATTTCCAGAGCGCGAGTACTCGCCAAACAAATACAACGACAAGCTAATGAACTCCATCTGGGGATTGTACAATCGCTATTCCCCCCATAATGTGAAGAAGAACGAGTACGCCCCCACCAAGTGAAGACCTAAAGGTGGGCCCGATGGCTTCCTCCAGGTCCAGCTGTCGTGCCCCAACTCCGCCAGCATCCCCACCAGGATGTTGGCTCAACTCTTATTATATATATTCCCCTAAAACTATAATCTCATACTCTATAATCTCAAATAATCAATTAATTGTTTGTAATTGTCCATAAATACCTATGATATTTTATGTAGACCATATACTTTCAACTTATCAATTAAAACACTTGACAATCTTTAGTAACAAATATCTATTTAATTCTGTAATGTTTTGTAAATTTCAATAAATACTTATGATATTGTATGTAAAGGGACAAAACCATAAAGCGTAATTTAATTTAAATAGCAGGACTCGTAGGTCGGAACCATGTACTTGATATTGATGAAGGCATCCTCGCCGCCGTGCAGTTCCAGCACTTGCAACGTCTCATCGATGAGGTCCCCCAGATTGAGGTTGTTCTTTTGGGCATAGTCGATTTCATCGCCGCAGTTTACTTTGGGTTACACAAAGAAGTTCCCATTAAAAACTAAAAACAACTGAATTTTAATGCAATACCTACAGTTTTTCACCTTAAAGGCATTGAACATGGGCAACAACTGCCTGTAGAAAGGCACCAGGGCGGGTCCCACCAAATCCGAGGACATGACCAGCTGTTGGATTATCTTCAATGTCGTGCACATTACCTCCAGGTTTCGTGTGCTCAATGCGTCTGAAACGGGGGCGGATTCGGATTTGAATTCGGATTCGCAAGGTGCCAATTAGACCGAAAAAGTTCGAGGCATTTGCGTGCCAGCCGAGTCCCTGGTACTCACTCTTTAGCGGCAATATTAATTGCGGTATCACCGGGTGTATCTTCTCGCCCCCGGCCAGCAGCAAATCCGTGACCCCTTGGCGGGCATACGTCTTGTATGGATGCTTGGTCTCCGCCAGTCCGTCGAAAAAGAGCGGCAGATAGAGGCTGTAGTCCAGCTTTTCAATGTCCACCTGTAAAAGGAGAAATGGAAATGAATTGGGGGTCAAAGGTGAATAGAGCGCTCCGAATTCGAAATGGGTTCGTGTACTGGCGGTGGCGCAAGTTTTGCAAGTGTACATTTGCACGCCATGCCGGTTAGGCCCTAGCTGATTTCCATTAAGATGCTCTTTGTTTGTTTACGTTGTCAATGGAAAATTTTTAGAACAAAGCGAAAAATTTGAATATGTACCTGTACCTGTGCTTTCTGATTTTTTAGTATAGGTCTAGACTAATCTGTTTTAGGAAAATGTCGTCGTTTAAAAGTCGAGTCAGCACAAATTAATGACTCAGGTGATTTTAATTAGTCACGTGTCCTATTATCAGGAAAATCAGCTCTGTATCTATCCTTTATTAAGATCACATAGGTCGGTAGTATGTAAATGCGGGTCAGTAGGACAAATAGCCTTCGTTATTATTTATTTGTGGCCAAGAAGTCGTAAAGACTTATCCTTTATTCACTTAAAAAAGAATTTATAATTAAGTCAACGGCGACGTCGCTGGCATCGCAGCTGCGTGAGCCTCACATATGGGGTTCCCCGACTTCGACCTTCGACCCAGTGACGCAAATGAAGTAGTGTCACTCACATATCACTCGAATGCACACGAGCTGTCACGGCGGCATTTCGGCCTAGATAAACAAACGCACCGCTTAAAAGACATTCGCCGCATATGTGGGCTCCGTAAAAAATGAAAATCCCACCCAAGGTCTGTGACATTGAACTAGCTAGAAGGGTCACACATATGAGGTGGGTGGATCCTGTAACTTTCCGCTTGCAGTGGGGTTCTGAAAAACTGACTGACAGTTGGACGGTGCGACGTTTTGAATGTCAGCAGTCGCATTCCGCCCGAAATCGCTTGCCCGTCACCGGTGCTCTACTAACTCCGGAAATAGACAATGGCATATTATTTGCTCGTTTTTGCCTTTAGCTCCAACACTTGAAATAATTGGACACGCAGGTGTACGAAATTCGAGCGAAACTCAAATATGGGCCCTGCCTATAGGTCACTGAGCAGTAAGGTTACCCCTTTTAGTGACAGTCCTGCAATCTGTTTTGATTTACATTGACTTACATTGGAATAGATGTAGTTTAAGTTCGCTGATTGCGAATACCAACTGACACATGGAAAATTCTAGTAGGAGAATATCATTGTTCCAAAAATAAAAACATATTAAGCTGACTTTAAAGCCTTAAACTCGATTGTGAGGGAGACGTAGTAAGATATACATTGTATATTATACAAGATATATAACAATCTTTTAAGACTTTCTTAAATGTTCTATGTATCCTACAATCTTCTCAAAATCTTATGAACTTTAACTTTCATTATGGTTTTTTTGAACAATTAGTTAAAAATACATAGCTAATAAAGTTCTTTGTGTGAAAGCAAATTCAGTTCTATAGCTAACAGAATATTGTGGTAATGGTTAGAAACATCGAGCGTTATAAATGAGCTACACCCTAATAAATGATGTATGAATAACAAATTAGGCCTTACTCACCGTCCATCCAATTTTATCGCCCCCGCAGAGGTACTCCATCTTGATGGGCAGGTCGCCGCGGTCGAAGTACATCCGAAACAGGGTTCCTCGCCCGGGATCATTAGCCCCTCCTGCGGCAGGTCCATTGAGTCCCAGGCCCAAATTGAAGGTGGACATGGACTTTTGCTGCCGCCTCAGAACTAAAAATCAGAATAAGCAAATGGGAAAGGAAATCATTAGGAAAACAAATAGCGAACTAAGGCAATCAAACAAACAAACAAAGAAACGCACTTTTCGGGTTGGGGACCCGCGCCCTGGCACTGGCTGTCTTGGGGGCGGACTCATAAATGGGTCCGTCGATGACAACGGTGTTCTTCTGCTGCGACTGGATGGAGAAGGGCGGCACGTAGCGTGGGCGTGAGGAAACGGCCGCTCCGTGGATGCCGCTTAGTGGACGCAGTTGAGCGGGATTGGCGGACTTGGAGCGGACCTGCTTCAGCGAGATGGCCGGAGTGTGAAAGTCGTGCGTCGTCGGACGCCTTCCCGTGGCGGTGCGTGCCGTTTGGGCCATGGCCATTCCGGAGTACGACGATGTGCAGCCACGTAGTGTAAACAGCGAACTGCCGAGCGAAGGAATTTTCTAGCCTAGCAATCCTTTGGTGTTGGCGTTGCTGTCGCTTTTGCTGTTGGTGGGTGTCGTGTCGTGGCGTTTCTATGGAGCACGTTGCTAGGGCGGCTTAGTGACCGATAAGCCAACAGCTACAGCTTATGCCGCTTACTCGGTTTTGGTTTCGGTTGCGGTGCTCTCTTCCAGTCGCATTTATTATAATGGCAAGCCGGTTAGCCTTCAAGGCGCCAGTTATGTTGCTCTCATTGTTTCTATTATCATTAGTCTGCTCTGTGTACAAATTCATAATCTCCGGGAGTCCATTGATTTCTAAAGAACGTTTACAAAGCGTTTCAGGTCAGCGAACCCATAGGCACTCTGTGAATCAGGGTTCCCTGAAGCCTGTAGATTAGTAACGACAAATTGATGTGTCAATCTCAAAATACCTACCGCTGATCTTTAAAAGATTTATATTTAATGTTCTGAGTACTTTTGTTCTAAGAGTAGTCTGTCCGTCTGTCTGTCACTCTGAAATTTCAGAAACTACAAAAGATTACCTACTTGAAAATATTTAAAATCGTGATCTAATTTATGTAATTCCTTTCTAGTGCTTATTATTAAAATAGATTAGGGTATGTAAGGCTTAATTTAGGTTCTGCGCAATAAACGAAAGCTTATTTCTTATCAGTTGCCTTGTTGAAATTTAAAACTGTGAATTCTAAAATTATCAAGGAAGAACACTATAGTCGAGTGCTTCGACTATCAGATACCCTTTACTCTGCCAAAGGGAGTGCATCCACCTAGCGCCGATTTAATTATTTGCTAAGAACCTTTTAATAAATGGTTCAAACAAATTAAATACAATTACCACTGCAAAACTAAAATTTTGGAAATGCGGGCGATACAATCTTTTGTGGTTTGTGTGCGCTCCATGATGAAAAAATGCTTCCTTTTACCTGCTACTTTTACTTACTTTTGCAATGCTGATATTGTGATATTTCCCGCCCACTACTTTTTAAATGCGCGCCATCTGACCTATCGAAAATTGCCAACCGTCCTGTTCGTCTGGCAACGCCGCACCTGTTTTTTAGTGTGTTGCAAAGTGCCTAAACAAAATCTGGCAGTGTTGGGCAGCAAACGGGAGCGAATAAAGAACAAAGTGTGATATGTCGCTGTGAATAGGCAATTATCTGTGTGTTTTCGTGCTAAATCTTATAGTTTCGCGCAAAGTGAGGGCCAGCGGAGACCGGGGGAAACATCTACCGATGGCGGGCAACATGTCCTCCAGCTCGAACGGCGAGCTGAAGAAGCTGTCGGAGGAGTCGCTGCTGCAGCCGCCGGAGAAGGTCTTTGACATCATGTACAAGCTGGGCGAGGGCAGCTACGGGTCGGTCTACAAGGCGCTCCACAAGGAGAGCAGCTCCATCGTGGCCATCAAGCTGGTGCCGGTGGAGTCCGATCTGCACGAGATCATCAAGGAGATATCCATTATGCAACAGTGCGACTCGCCGTATGTGGTGCGCTACTACGGCTCCTACTTCAAGCAGTACGACCTGTGGATCTGCATGGAGTACTGCGGCGCCGGCAGCGTCTCGGACATCATGCGGCTGCGCAAGAAGACGCTCACGGAGGACGAGATCGCCACCGTGCTGTCGGACACGCTGAAGGGACTGGTCTATCTGCACCTGCGTCGCAAGATCCATCGCGACATCAAGGCGGCCAACATCCTGCTGAACACGGAGGGCTATGCCAAGTTGGCCGATTTCGGGGTAGCCGGCCAGCTGACGGACACAATGGCCAAGCGGAACACGGTGATTGGGACGCCTTTCTGGATGGCGCCCGAGGTGATCGAGGAGATCGGCTACGACTGTGTGGCCGACATTTGGTCGCTGGGCATCACCGCCCTGGAAATGGCCGAGGGAAAGCCCCCCTACGGCGACATCCATCCCATGCGAGCCATCTTCATGATTCCCCAGAAGCCACCACCCTCGTTCCGCGAGCCCGATCGCTGGAGCACCGAGTTCATTGACTTTGTGAGCAAGTGCCTGGTCAAGGAGCCGGACGACCGGGCCACGGCCACCGAGCTGCTGGAGCACGAGTTCATACGCAACGCCAAGCACCGCTCGATCCTGAAGCACATGCTGGAGGAGACCTGCGCCATTCGCGAGCAGCAGCGGGCCAACCGCAGCGCTGGCGGACTGCTGGCCAGCAGCCAGGCCAAGAGCTTGGCCACCCAGGAGAACGGAATGCTGCCGAACATAATGGACAACGCGTTCATGGAGGATCCGGGCACCCTGGTGCCGGAGAAGTTCGGCGAGTACCAACAGAGCTCGGCTTCGGATGCCACCATGATAGCGCATGCTGAGCAGGGCGTGGACGAGGGCACACTGGGACCGGGTGGCCTGAGGAACCTGGCCAAGGCAGCGGGTCCAACGGCAGGCGGCGCAGCTGCCTCGTCCACAGCATCTCCCCTCGATGTGCCGGCAGTGGACAGCGGTACAATGGTGGAACTGGAGTCGAATTTGGGTAAGAAAGCGATATTAATCGGACTATAGAAACACTTTAAATATTGTATGTTATGCAGGCACAATGGTCATCAACTCGGACTCGGACGACTCCACAACAGCCAAGCGAAATGACGACCAGAAGCCACGCAATCGCTACCGACCGCAGTTCCTGGAGCACTTCGATCGCAAAAATGCGGGCGACGCTCGTGGCGATGAGAAGTCCATGGCCACCGAGTATTCCCCGGCGGCAGCCGAGCAGCAACAACAGCAGCAGCAGCAACAGGAGGAGCAACACCTGGCCAGCGGAGCCAACGACTTGAACAACTGGGAGCACAACATGGAAATGCAGTTCCAGCAGATCTCCGCCATCAATCAGTATGGACTGCAGCAGCATCAGCAGCAGCAGCAGGTTCTCATGGCCTATCCCCTGATGAACGAACAGCTCATAGCGCTCAACAATCAGCAGAATCTGCTGCTCAGCAACGCTGCGCCAATGGGGCAGCAGGGCATACCGGCAGCTGCGGCTCCAGCTCAACCGCCGCCCGCATATCAGAACCAGCATATGCACACGCAATCGCACGCCTACGTGGAGGGCGAGTTTGAGTTCCTCAAGTTCCTCACCTTCGACGATCTGAACCAGCGGCTGTGCAACATCGATCACGAAATGGAGCTGGAGATCGAGCAACTGAACAAGAAATACAATGCCAAACGGCAGCCAATTGTTGACGCCATGAATGCGAAGCGCAAACGCCAGCAGAATATCAATAATAATCTGATTAAGATATAGGTATTAGCAACTCACAATTTCGCATGACAACTGAAAATTGAATTTCAACTCACTCGAGGGTCTCTGCATTTGGTTGAATTTGCAGATTACAGATGCACTATCTGTATCCTCAAAAAATAATTCATATATTGAGCAAATTCAATCGTTTGGAAAGGCCCACAACCAATCACAAGAAATGAAAACACAAAAGCTTTATTGTAAAATGCAGTGAAAACAGGAATGAAATGTGGTCAGAGGACTCGTCGGCAGAATCTTCCAGCACGGATACATGTGTTCAGTTTGTTCCACCTTTGTTTTCATCACTTTTTCTGTTTGGTTTCGTATATTTTAGCTTCTTTCATTGATCTGTTTTCTAATATCGATACTTCGAATAAAATTTATATTGCGTTTATTGTAGCTGCCCGCACTGTCAACTGCCTAAGCCTTATCCTAATTTATAAGACTACTATTATTCGTTCTTCCCTGTTAACTATTAACCTTAATCTCTATGTAAACCCTTATTTTTGTCTTCGTGCGAAAAAAAACAGTAACCCGTCAAGCAATACTTATAAAGGAGAAACATTTTTATACGCATTGGAATGCATATTTTTCGAAAGTATATTTCTCAAAGCAAAATGCACAGAAGCACTCACATATAAACATATATATATACCTAGTACTTTTAGAAATTATAAATAATTTACATAATAAATATATAGGAATATATGAAGCAAAAATTGTATACAATCGATTAAACTTTCCTTTGATCTATTAAGTTTCGAAATTTAACTTGAAAAAGGTCTGCTCCCGTCAAAAGATATTTGGACTCCAAGAGGGAGTCCCTGTTTTGATTTTATTCTGCATTTTATCTAGTCTTGTATATCCATTTCCTGAGTTGCCTGCTGCATATCGTGTAGCTGTGCCCGCAAATCCTCGGGCAAAGTATGTTCGTTTAAGGCACTGGGGTCTTCGCCATCCACCACAATCTCCTCTGGATCCGGGGCTCGTGGCAAAAAGTCTGCATCCGCGAAAAGTTTACCAAATATGTGGCGAGCATTGGCAATGGCCGCGTCGTAATCCAGCTCGTAGGTCGGCGGATCTGTGTAGTAAATGTGCTCTGCAGCGGCACTTTTACTAGTAAGGGCAGCAATTGTGAAATACGAGCTAAATATGATTTGTGCGTCTGAGTGATCAAATAGTTGGCTAGTAAAATAAGCTAGATCGGCCGCAGGATCCTCGCTCAAAGCTGGCGTGGTCAGGTGGAAGATGTCTGTATAAAAGTAATCTATTAAATATATATCTTAGGATTACTTTCTTTAGATACTTACATAATCCCTCGGGGCAGGCTCCAGTGTAGTGCGACAGTTGGATTAAGAAGGCTTCGCGTGATCCATCGGCATTGAGCAGTCGGAGGAGATTGACACCGCCACCTCCCTTGTTTAGTTCCTCGTTGCCCAAGGGACTGGACGATATGAACAGGCCACGTGAGATGTGGGCCTTCAACTCAATGTCCTTCGAGACTGGTGGATAGCCGGGGGCAGAGACCACATTCTTTGCGCGCAGCGTTTTGCCTGCGCTGCTCAGCAGGAATTCATTCGAATTGGAGTCCAAGGCAATGTCGTCGACAGCTCGCTTCAGGCAGTAAATACCTCCATATACGGCGCACAAGCGGCAGAAGCACTGCGGCAATTCCCCGCAGCCATACATGGGAAACAGGAAGGGTGTGTTGCCGTAGCGACCCAGACTGCCCAGAAACCGCTGTGTGCGCTGCATACCCTCCTCAAAGCTGGTGGTGGGGCCACACATGGCGATGGCTTGCATCACGCACGACGATATCTTCTCGGTCACCCGCTGCGCCTGTAGGTATTCCTGGAAAGTACGCCCCCGAAACTGTAGCGAATCCTCGTTGCACTTGTCCTCGCCGTAATCGTTGCAGGCGGTGAGGAACTTCATCAGCAGCCGCTTCTCCACGATGGTCAGGGTCTTTGTGTTGAAGACATCACTGCGGGAGCAGGGCACGGAGACAATCTCACCGTTGTGGCGCATGCAGACATGGTCCACGGCACGGAATTCAGCATAGCGGCAGATGTTCGACTTGATGAGCAGCTGCACCAGCTCCCCGGCGGCATAGAGGATGCGTGGACAGAGATCCAGGCTAAAGCGACGCGACTTGGCCAGCACAGAGTCCCGGTTCCAAGTAGATTCGCCTGTTTCCGGCTCATTTTCCTTGGTGTGCCAGGTGTAGCTGGCATTTCGCAATGTGGAATGGGGTTCGGCCTTCTGGTCGAAACGGGCACATAGAGCGTCCATGCTGAAGGAGCTCCACACATCCCCGTAGTACTCATTGCTGTCCAGGTGGAGAACCGTCTTGCCCACCCTGCTGGCCGCAGCGGCAATGCAGGATTCGGTGAAGCCTAAAAAGGGCGTCCCCAAATGACTCATCCATGGTTTGAAATTGTATTTACGGGATTTCTTACCTGTGCCTATGACCACCAGGTCAAACTGCTCCGGCAGGTCATCCGACATGATTGTAGTCTTATTCTCAATGCTGGGTAAACAATTTGTAGGGATAAATAAAATATTTGGTGAATTTATTGCAAATATATATTAAACAGCTGATTAGAGATGGGAAACTAACGATGACGTCACCAATAAACAGCTGCGAATAGTGTTGGGTAGCGGCAAAAGGCGTTACTAAACTTATTTTAAATTTAAAATTTAATTCAAATAATGCATAAAGCCAGGAAATTATGTATTGAATTAAAACAATTCAAATAATAATACTAATAATGATAAAAAAAAAATAAAAATCAACCACCCACTACATTAAATAAAAAAAGCCAGTGCAGAAATCAACAGGTGCAATAAGAATACACCTACACAGGTGGAAGTACGCTTGTAGTTGTAGTCGCCGCTGCCATGGAAACGGAAAAGTCATAAACAAAAGCCGGAAAATTATGAATTGCAGAATGTTCGCTCCCGCAAAATAGAAATAAAGAAATAAAGTAGAAAATGTCCTTTGAGAAAATCCTTTACAAATACGAGGAACCGCACGGGATCGGAGATGTGTACTTTATTTGGCAGAAGGCCCTGCTGGCCACAACTGGAACCGATGGCTCCGTGGCCCTGTACAATCGGCAGGGACAGCTGGTGCAGCGCATCATACTCTCAGGGTGAGCTAAGCCAGGTCCCTCAAAGATATATCCAGTAATAAATCCCCTCCACCAGCCTGTGTTCGGGATTCGCCGGGGACCAAGAGGGCGACCTGCTGGGCATCATCACCAGTGGCTCGCCCAACATCACGCTGTGGGACTACAACAGCCAGGAGAAGATCAGTGTGGAGACGGGCCTGCGGGATCCGTTGACCTGCATCCTGTGGTCCAAGCAGCAGCAACTGCTGGCCGTGGGCACCGGACGCGGGAACCTGGCCATCTACAACCACAGCAGTGGTAAGCGACCCACTCCGGTGCTCGGGAAGCACAGCAAGCGGATCACCTGCGGCGCCTGGTCCGCCCAGAATCTTCTGGCGCTCGGCTCGGAGGACAAGAGCTTCTCGCTGAGCAACGAGGATGGGGACACGGTGCGCGTCGTCCAGCTGCGAGATGCCCCCACCGACATGTACTTCGCCGAAATGGCCAATGACGAACGCATCGCCGGCGACAATGCCATCAGCATGATCATCGGCAAGCGCACCCTGTTCCTGTACTATCTGCCCGAGCCGGAGAACCCCACGGAGCTGGGCTTCCAGAGTCGCTACGGATCGCTGATGCAGCACAAGTGGTTCGGCGATGGCTACATCCTGTTGGGCTTCTCCAACGGACACGTGGTGGCCATCTCCACGCATCCCAAGGACGTGGGCCAGGAACTGTGGCAGGTGAAGAACCACAAGGACACGCTGACCGGACTAGCCTACTGCCCCACCCTGGACATAGTTGCCTCCTGCGGGGATGACAGGTGAATAGAGAGATTTACCCATAGAGATGATATCTGATTTTATTATCATTTTTAAGCAGCATTAAGATTCACTCGATTACGAATCTTCAGGAGACGGAGCGCATCATTACCGTGCCAGATCACGCAGGCGTTCAGATGATCGACTGGTCACCAGATGGTCAACTCCTGGCGGTGACCACGAGCAATGGCACTGTGTACATCTATGTGACCAAGCTGCCGCACCTGTTTGCCGTCTCAGCTCCCCGGATTGTGCTCTTGAGCAGTCTGGCCGAGGTGACCATCTATGTGTATGCACCGGACAAGAGCAAGTCGCTGCCCTTCCGCTTGCCCCTCGAGGGAGAACCCACCTTCATGGCCGTGGGTCCGTATAATTTTGCAGCGGGAATTGCTAAGCACGTATGGTTCTATGATCTCGGAAAGAGTCTGGGCGAAGAGCCGCGTCCACTGAGCGAACGCGACTTCCCGCGCGGCGTGGAGAGCATGAAGCTGAATGCCGACTACTGTGCTGCCCTCTGCCCGCCTCAGCTGATCCTTCAGGCCATCGCCACCGACAATCCGAACTGCAAGGATAAGCTGCAGACGGTCTTTCCCACCGCGTTGCCCAACATGCCCAGTGATGCGGTGATCACGTGCTTTGCCCTCAGCCAGGAGCTGCTGATATTTGCCACCGATGTGAGTATTTATACCCGTTACTCGTAGAGTAAAAGGGTATATTGTATTAGTGCAATAGTATGTAACAGCTAGAAGAAAGCGATTCCGACCCCACGAAGTATATATATTCTTGATCACGGTCCCTAGCCGAGTCTAGCCATGTCCGTCTGTCCGTTTGTCTGCCTGTCCGGCTGTCTGGATGAACGCTGAGATCTCGGAAGCTACAAGAGCTAAAAGCTTGAAATTTCCCACACATATTCTTGGGCTTCCTACGCAGCGCTAGTTTATTTCAGCCGAGAGCCTCCTCTAACGCCCACAATCGCCCACTAACGGTTTTTAAATGTGTCAGGCGCCCACACCTTTAAACATTTTCGAAAAGTATAAATGCAATTTCGTTGTGTTTATTTATACCTATCGAAATGTAGAAGACATTTTTAAAATCGGACCATTCATTAAAAAGTTATGCGCAATCAAAATTGTATATATCTATCACCCTCGCACTCCCTTTACCTGAGTGACGGGTATTAGATAGTCGGGACACCCACCCGACTATAGCGTTCTCTCTTGTTAAAACTAGATTCTGTTATTTCCCATATTTCAATATGATTTCGCTTACCTTCTGAATTCCCAGATAGGTCACCTCGTGTTCTATTCGTTGGAGAAATGGGACAGTTGTACCATCTACAGACATAGCATGGGCATCAGGCAACTCTTCATGGACATAGAAGGCACCAAGGTCATATTCATAGACGACCACTCCCAGGGCTATGTGTTTTTGCCTGTTGTGGAGGAGTCTCTGCTCATCCCGGACATTCCCAAGCAGTGCCTCGGCTGTCTCTGGGATCTCACGCAACCGAACATCTTCATCAGCTACGATGCGAGGATCGTGAATACGCACGCCTTTGTGCGGCACTCTGTGCAAGGAACACACACCCTGAAGGTGGGCGAGTCCAAACTGAATCCGGGTCAATTTCCTTTGTTGCTCTGCGGCGGGGAAATGGCGCTGCATGTCGATGGTGGTCAGTATGCCACCCAGTCGCTCAGTACCCATGTCGTGAATCCAAGCAACAGTCAGACGGCGAATCTTCAGGTCCTCCTGCGGCTGAGGAACTACGATGAGGCCTACAAGCTGTGCAAGCAGATGAACCAAAGTAGCGCCTGGCGGGAGTTTGGGGAACAGGCCATTGCGGATCTGGAACCGGAAATTGGTGAGATTAATGGCTAACTCACTTCTGAATCGTAAGTTTTTAAATGCCATGTAATTAACAGCCATTCGAGCCTATCGTCAGCTGGGCGATGCTGCTCTGGTGAATGCCTTGAGTGAGCTGCGCTACATGGAGGATCTGGATATGCTTATCGGCTGTTGTTGCATGCTTTTGGCCCAGTACGATCAGGCCAAGGAGCACATGCTGAGGGGAGTTTACACCAGAGCAGCTCTGGAACTCTGTCGAGATCTGCTGCAGTGGGATCAGGCGCTGCTCCTGGCTCACAAGAACGATCCCGAGGAGGTGCCCTACATCGCTAGGGAGTATGCCCAGCAGTTGGAGTTCACGTAGGGCATTATATATTGTAACCTATCCGCAGATTTAAATACGCTTCTTGTTTTGCAGTGGCAACTATGCAGATGCTCTCTATCACTACGAGAAGGGCTACAAGGAGGATTTGATCAACAGCAAGGAGACTGATACTGCTGCTTTAATGGAGAGTTCTCCCGAGTTCGAGGAGCATGTGCGTCTCTGCAAAATGGGCATTGCAAGGACCTCGATCAGGGCAGGAGACTTCAGACGTGGGGTAAGGCCCTTATAACTATTGATTAAGTTGAGTTACAAATTAAATTCGTTTTTTCAAAAAAGATCCAATATGCCGTGGAGCTGGAGGACCAGCAGCTCTTGTTTGATTGCGCAGAGCTACTGGCCACCGTGGGTCATCTTACCGAGGCAGCCGGACTGTACGAGCGCGGTGGTTTCTATGATGAGGCCTGTGGTCACTACATTGCCCTGAAGATGTGGAACAAGGCCAACAATGTCCTGCCCAAGGTGAAGAGCACCAAACTTCATGCAGCCTATGCCAAGGCAAAGGAGAACGATGGCCACTTTGAGGAGGCAATAAGGAGCTACCGCATAGCCGGTGACTTGGATGCCTGCGTTAGGATCTATCTGGACCACCTGTGCGATCCACATGCTGCCTCTGAAATCGTTTTGGAGTCACGTTCAATGGACTCGGCCAAGCTGTTGGCCAAGTTTTACCAAAAAATTGGCGATGTGGAGCAGGCCCTTCAGTTTCTAGTCATCTGCGGCTGCGTGGAGGAGGCCTTCGCCCTCGCCCAACGGCACAACAAGTTGAGGCGTCACGGAGAGCTCCTCGAGCGTTATGAGAATGCCAAATCCTCTGATTATCTGGCCCTGGCACATTACTTTGAGGGCGAAAAGTACACACTACTGGCGGGCAAGTATTACTTTCTGGCCAGGGAGTTTACCAAGGCGTTGAGGTTTCTGCTCAAGGCCTCGGCCTTTAACAACGAGGAGCAGGTCTCTCTGTCGCTGGCCATTGACTGCGTGGCCACCTCGAACAACGAGCAGTTGGCCTCCCAGCTTATCGAGTTTCTGCTGGGCGAAGTGGATGGAGTACCGAAGGATCCGCGGTATCTATTCCGTTTGTACATGGCTAGGAAGCACTATAAGGATGCGGCCAAGACGGCTGTAATTATTGCCAACCAGGAACAGCTCGCTGGAAATTACAAGTCGGCCAGGGATCTGCTGTACTCCATGTACCAGGAACTACGCCGGAATAATCTTTCCGTTACGGCTGAGATGAGACACCAGTTTATATTGCTACATCGCTACACTTTGGTGCGAATTCACGTAAAGTTGGGAAATCATTTACTAGCCGCCAAACTTCTGGTCCAAGTGGCCGCCTGCATATCTCAGTTTCCGGAGCGTAAGTATATAGTCTTGCTGGTTTCTTATTTGTTTATTAACAAATTGATCTCCTTACAGATATCATTCCCATTCTTACCTCCACGGTGATTGAGTGCCATCGAGCTGGTCTCAAGAAGTCGGCGTTTACCTATGCCTCCACTCTGATGCGTCCTGACTATCGTAACCAACTGGACTCCCGGTATGCAAAGAAGATCGAATCGATTGTGCGCAAAGCTCCCAAGGGCATCAAGCAGTTGAGGGATGAAATCGACGACGAGACCATGGAGTGTCCCATCTGCGATTCGAACCTGGCCAACATGGAGGTGACCTGCTATAGTTGCAAGACCACACTGCCCATCTGCATCGCCACTGGACAGCACATCATCAAGCAACTCATGACCTCGTGTCCTCAATGCGATTTTCTTTGCTTCCGCGCGGAAATGGAGAAGTAAGTTTTAAATCCTCTGAGAATTAAAAACATTTAAATTTTAAATCTATGTATTTGCAGCATACTGTCGGAAAATGGAGAGTGTCCCATGTGTGGCGAGAATGTGGCCCCGGAACAGCTTCTGGATGTTGAGGACATACGACCTTATATTCTGGCAGCTTCCTAAGATCGAAATATTAATGGACTGAATAAAACGAATAGACTGCACATCACATCACAACACCAAAAATATATAAATATAAGTTGCAAAGCACTAAATACACTTGAAATATCACCGAACTTTATTGAGTCATTTTATTTTTCGTAAAGGCTTGGGGTTGTAGTATGTAGCGTTTTGAGAATAAATCGACTTTCACAATTTAAATTTAAAAAATTTAGTTTGTTGAAGAAATAATTCATCTAGCTTAAACTGACATCTGAATTATTTCTTGTAATAGTTTACAAATTTTTAAAAATTGTTTTGGGTTTAAGAGAAAAGAAATCTGCTCTTATTTTTATCAAGACCCTGTCTTAAAATCCGGGGATCTAGTAGACTCTGTGCATACTTTGATCAATTCCCTGTCCTTAGATTCTTCTTAAACTTTTAAGAATCGTTCATTATTTAGAAATTCTCTTTTTCCGTTTTTATTTATTTTTAGAATATTTTTCAAATGGTTACACCGTAACGGCTGTTCATGGTATTTTTTAGTATTTTTCTCTGAGCTCCATAAAACGCTCTAGTGCTTTTTTTGATTACTGCTACACGGTTTTTGTTAGTCACCTTTTCAACCAATATTGCCGCAAACATACGGTTTTCCTGGATAACTTAACAAATCAATTCCTCCACCGCAATTTAATCCGAGGAACGTAAGATGTCGCAAATAATTGAAACTGGCAAATCGGATTTCATTAAGTTAAATGTGTCCAATTCGCACAATGATGCAGTGGCCTTTGAGGTGAAGTTTGCCAAGGATCTAACAGTGGCTCAGCTCAAGGTGGGTCTTTCAATGGATTAGTAGGACATACATCCTAATATTTCCTTTTTCAGAGCAAACTGGAGATATTGACTGGCGGATGTGCGGGCACCATGAAGGTGCAGGTCTTCAAGGGAGACACCTGCTTGGCCACGCTGGACAACAACGACGCCCAGCTGGGTTACTATGCCAACAGTGATGGCCTCCGGCTGCATGTCATCGATAGCTTCGCTACCTTCTCGTTCGACAGTGCGCCCGTCGAGAAATTCGAACTGACCAAGGATCAGTACGAACAGAGGACCGATTCCGTGCGCAATTACCTCAAGCAGAATCGCATGGGCAAGTACAACGAGGAGGAGATGCAGCAGGCGGAGGAGAAGAGGCGTCTCCAGGCGGAGGAGGTCCAAAAGAAGGCGGAGCTGTGTGTTCTGGGCGGCAGATGTGAGGTGAAGTAGTAATCAACTGAATATTACCGGATCAAATGACTCAACTAGCTAGTTTTTCCCTCAGGTCACGGTGCCAGGTAACCCAACCCGACGTGGAACGATCAGATATAATGGTCAGTTGGAAGGAAAGACTGGCCATTTCATTGGCATTGAATATGATGAACCGCTGGGCAAAAATAATGGAAGGTAAAGCCACTTAAAACCAAGAAATCGCAGCTTTCTAAACCGATCCAATATATTTTCCCATTGCAGCGTTGGTGGCAAGGCCTACTTTAGCTGTGCCCCAAATTACGGCGGCTTCGTATCACCATTATCCGTCACGGTTGGTGACTTTCCGCCAGAAGACTTTAACATGGATGACGAACTCTGAGAATATCGGCGGACCCACCCACTGTTCGCAACATCTCGCATCGCACATGCCACTTTAACCGGAAGACTTACAAAGCACTTAACTTATTTGTACGCAGGAAACTACAACACTAATTATAGTTATGCCATTTTGTATTTATTAATTAAAACATCTATGTATGTATGTATATCAGATATTCTTACAACATGATTATTCGTAAATTCTATAATCGGCTTTATCATAATTCTGATTTAATGGTGTTCTCATTCATTTCGCTTTGTTTTACATTAACTCAACCGTTTGTAAATCAAAATAAATACCAGAAATGAGTATACAACTAGCATATTGTGCAATGTGGATCTGGGTGCGTTACTTTAAATTACTGACCGCAGATTGCTGACAACAGAAAACATAGAAGAGGTGAAGTTTTAGCAATGCTTACACAGATATATGTCTCGTTTTCGGGAAGGGAGTCCGGCTTTCTACTAAAGGATATCTCTCGGCGTATATGTAATAAGCTGCTTGCTTTATATATTTATGCATGTATTATATACTTATGTGTGGTTATGCGCGTTCTTGCCTAGTCCTAGTAATTATTAATAAGTTTCAATTAGCTGTCATTTAACAACAAATATATAAAACGATGCATGCTTCTCTCGAAAGTTAAGAATTACAGAAATGCGTCACAATCATGATGAAGACAACTTGATGTGCAACTATGTATATGTTTTGGTATATATAGACTGTTTTTTGAGCCTCCACAACTTAGATAAATGGTCGTCTTTTTTTCTACATCTCACTTGAGATCGCTCCTCCTTCAAATCCCATTTACTTTCCTTTCCGTAACACACTAAGATCTGCTTCAGAAACATTCAATTCGGTGTGTAGAAGCCCCTGGCTCGTCTTTTCCTCAGGGGTAAATGAACTTAGTGGAAACTAGGTAACAATGGGCCATAATTGCTTCTCAGTGTTACATGTTTCAGAGTGGTGTTGTTAGTAAATTTGTAGCCTTAACAGTAGTGTACATACATTTCTTGTCTGTGAGTTCTATGAACTGTTCAAATTGAAGGAAATTAACAAAAATGTCAGGTATAAGTACCAACTACATATTCGAGCACGGGTCTAATAATTACAATAGATGGGTATTGGGGTATGGAGTTGGGCACATTTTAAGATAAATAGTAGAATACAAACTTCGGCTATCGGACTTGTGATTCGATCATTGATTTATTACGTAATAATCACACCTCAACACTAGCTTTATGTGCTGCCCCGTGGGACATACTCGAAAATATGATTTAAAAAACGAAACAACCCGAGTCGAATATCTATGAATTTGTGTTCTTTGATCGTTTGTTTGCCAAGCAAAATTGTTTACTGGATATCGACACATAAATGCAGTTTATAGAGCGTTGATTGGTTTCTTGTTAATATTTATTGTTACTGTATTATTGAGTGGTGTTTCTGTTACCCTTATATTCACTTGTGCTTCATCTCGCGCGGAGCTCGATGACCAATATTGCTGGCCCATTAACTAGGTTCCTATTAATTAACGTATGTAAATATGTGCGTATTTTTATGCGGGTGCTAATGCATGTCAGTGTGTGGATAGATAGAGGAGTTTGTCTGCTTGATTGTAATGTGTAGAGTTATATATTCAATTAGTTCGATCTACGGAGAGATGCTAACATTATATTTTTCTTGAGATTCCAGCAGGGATTCGCCGCATTGCCTTCATATTCACTCATTCAATAGATACAAACTGCCCCACAATTAACGTAATTAAACGTATACCCATGCTACGTCCATGTTCCATTGCATTAGAGGGTTGTGGTGCGTAGCATGGCTACTTTGCCCTCCGGCTTGCTGCTTGGATTCTCCTTGTCCGTGGCCGCCACCTCCTCCCGCTCCTTATCCTTCTTTCCAATCGCACCCTTTTTGTCCGCATCACTGTGCCTGCCGGCAGTCAACTTGCGCACAATCAGGCTTCCTGTGTGCTTGATGTTTCTCTTCAATCGATTGCCCCCACCACCGCCGCCGCCGCCGCCATCGCCTTTGCCCTTTTGTCCAGTGCCATCGGCAGGGCCCTTGGCTTCACTAGTTTTACCCTCAACGCCTTCAGCATCTTCCTCCATAATCGGATTGATTGGGCTAAAGTCAGCGAAGAGAGGCACATCAACAGAATGTCCTGGTTGTGTGTCAATCACCGGAAGATCTGGCACATCCTCGCTGGACTGCAAGTTCTCCTTGGAACTGAAGGGAGAGTACATTTGGAACGCCGATAGCAACGAGTTGGATTTCTTATGATCCTCGCTTCCACCGGTGGACAGCCGGCTCTTCTTGCGTCGCTGGGAGCCCTGTTGGCTGGTCAACGAGCGACACAGAAGTGAGAGCTCCGACAGGCGGGAGGTGCTGTCGTTGCTGGCCCTCCGACAGTTGGCGGTGGCTATGGTGTCGGTTGGATCAGGGGGCCGCGAGGCGGCGGCGGCCGCATTCCCCTCGTTGTTCGTTTGGTTAAGTCACAGCCGGAGGTCAAAAGCAATGCGAGACGCAATGTTCTTGAAGCCAATGCTGGTGCCTGCAGAAAAATAAATACCAAATTACTAGAGCTGTCTTTTACAATTGAAAGAAAACCTACCAGAAATTCGCTTAAAGCGCACTCCATTAAGGGAGAGGCGTGGCAGCTTGCACACCTCAATTTCCCATTGCACCAGGGAGTCGGTATTAGGATCTCCATGCACGCACCAAAGGACGAATCTAATGTCGATAAAACATATTTTTTAATAAGTAACTATACATTTACAAAACTGTTCATTACTCACCGCTCGCGCTGCTCGTAGTCGCAGTTGTTCTGGTCAAGCACTTCCCTGATCTTTTGCATTATCTGATCGGGCATAAGTGGCGATGTGGTTTTCATTGACCATGTGAACCGTAAAACCCTTGGTTTCGCCGCCTCGTCTGTGGTTGTGGGACTGAAATAAGGTATAACCAATTTATAATATCGACAGTTTCGCGGTCCACAGCCGTTTAAGTTACATTAACAGGTACGTTATACACTCTTTGAATTGTAGATATGTGTTCTGATCTTTCATTGTAAAAATCTTGAAATTAGTTTAGTTTAGCTGCAAGCCTTTTAATAATAAATCAAGGTAAACGTTACAAGTATATGGAATTTCTTTTTCCTTGTTTTAAAGATTGAGGCAAGGATATGTCATAGTTCTTATAAATTCGAATCTTACTCCCAAAGTTAAATAACTAAACTCCCGAGATTCCCAGCAGAATTAACCACACCAAGTGTATCGTGGCCAGCAAATGCAAGTGTAAATGGATAATGAAATAAAATAGAAATGCATGTGGGGATATTCTTTTGCTCACAAATGTTTCACATCATTTATTATGGATTTATTAAATTATCAATTGTTTTAATTATGCGTTATTTCTTTGAAACTTAATATGTATAGATAACTACTGATCGAACCACTGAAGGCGCTCGATGATAACACGATCTATAGATAA